TCTTACATTTGAAGACCTTTCACCATGCTACATCACATGGCATTGTCTCAAACACCTGAATGTCTTGCATTGATATCTTGCAAATTCCAAGACTTCAGAGTGAGTAGACAGATTTTATTATTTTGATTTTGTTCTCAAAAGATGTAGTATCCCTCTTTGTATACTTTTGGAAGTTTTAATTTTACATTGTAATTTATTGTCAGGTTTGCTTGGTATGGTAATATGAATAACAAACATGCTTATCAGAATGTCCTCTTTGTATTATAGAGTACTGAAATGTATCAGTACAGGAATTTTTAACCTGTCATGGTTTCATGACAGAAATCAAGTAAAGCCATATAGTTATTAATGATATAAGAATGTTCATATTTATGTGGCATATCATATTATCACATGTATGCCCAAATAGTCTAAACCCAGTAAAACCAGTTCAAAGTCTTGGTAAGGTCAGGCAAGGACAGGTGTTCATTAGTGCACACTGCTACAAGCTTGGGCGATTGTCCCGCCTGTGGTAAGGTGTGTGAGTCCTCCTCTCAATTGGGACATTGACTTGTGACATGATTATGCATCACCTGGCATCTTGTGATTATTGGTCATAGCATGGTAGCATGTATCCTGTCACTAAAGGTTAATATGTTTATATTGCAGTCAGCATAGATCTTAAAAGCATGATGTATCCATGTTCAAGCTAATTTTTTTCAAGGGATTGAATTAGTAGATGTTCTTATGGTAACCAACCAGATTTTAGCATAATTCCCTCTTGATATGATATAGTTTCAGTTTCATAAATTATATGCATCTGTGTACTAGATAAGCCATATAAAACATCAAAAACATATTTATGTTTTAATTATATATGTATATATTTTGCTTAGGTATATAGGTTACTTTCTAGCATTATTATTTTCTGCTCATAACTTTTGCAACTTTATTCTTTCAGATTTGATATGAAAAGGATTCACTTGGCATAGATACATTCATTAAAAAACAAGTTGTATTTTGTTGTACTTTCTTATTACTACAATGATTTTTTTAAAACAATTTATTTATTCTTATTTGTTTTCTAGTCTTCCTGCTGTCAGATAATTGGCAAAGTGAGATCTCTCAAGAATGTTTTGTCTAGGTGGGAATTATTGATGTCAACCTGAATTGGCCATATACCATACCTTGTAGTAAGGAAGGTGTTGTTTGTCAGGAGTAGCTAATTTTACTGGGTATATCTGGAGACTTAATAGCAGCCAAAGTAGTGGTTGGTACATTTGTAACTGAACAAATTTGTGCAATTTACTTATTGATGGCTGTGTTTCTTTCATTTATTTTAGTCATGTAAAAGCTTTAAGATACAAGGTTTACTTTGGTGAAGAAATAGATTGTTTGTAATTTAGGTATAAATGATCAAATTTTTATTCTGTGTTACTACCTATAATTATTTATTGCAAGAGGAGATAAAATGTATTGTGTATGTTAGATTGACATTTTGCATGTGAAGTAGGGAAAACTAAGTTCAATGCATATTTACATGTATAAAATCTCAATTTTGAAGGAGTCATGACAAAGCACATTTCATTAGTGGTCTTGATAGCAAAATACATAATTGTCTTACATTTGTATATTACTTTTGATATATATATTCATTTCATGCTACACTAGTTATGAATGTCAGAATATGGCATTCACACACACAGACACACACACAGACACACACAATGGCATTCACACACACAGACACACACACAGACACACACACAGACACACACAGACACACACACAGACACACACACACACACACACACACACACACACACGCACGCACGCACGCACACACACACACACACACACACACACACACACACACACACACACACACACACACACACACACACACACACACACATACACATACACATACACATACACATACACATACACATACACATACACACACACACACATATACACACACACACATAGACACACACACACACACAGAGTTAATGCTGCAGAGTAAGATTATATATTTGTCTTAGTTTGGAATAGTAGACTTGATATGGTTATAGATTAGAAGCTGATCAGGATGTAGATATCATGCTCAGTCTGCATATTTATGTAACATATCACACAATTTCAGATCTACGTTTTTGCTAGGCAAACATCTGAAACTGTTATGTGAATTGTATATATATTTTGTTCTGTTCTTTCACATATCCAATAATGTCAAAAGGAAAAAAAGGCAATATGGAAGAGGTGCATTATCTGTTACCAGTGCATATCAGTTGTGTCAGTATCATATGTAGGTGGTGTGACTACTCTGCATTTGATCCCTATTGAACAAATAAAGGAGCTTTTATTGTTGTAATTTATTGACTGTTAATATACTGTCAAGATGTAGCATTGGTTGTAATTTGCTCTACATGTATTGTGGTTCCATATTGAATTGTGCTTAGTCATGGTATCTATTTTGGAGGTCAAGTTAAAGATTATAAATAGAAATGGTAGAGCAAAATCACCTGATTTGATGAACTTCATAAAATATTCTTCCATCAAACTGGATTCTCAATTTTTGTAAACAAAGCAATGATTATGTCAAAGTCCTTTCTGGCTCTGTTGCTTCTTCAGGGCAATAAATTGAAAAAGACCTGGATTACTGGTGAGGTTTCCAGCTCTTTGTTTCATTGCTCTGTTTACCATTTGATCAACAGGAATCTTCCACATTCTCGTTTTTGCAGATTTGGTTCTGCAAATTACAAAATAGCAATCAGTGGTCTCATTTATTTTTAAGGAAACTTGACTTAAGTTGTAGGTTAACTGTGAAAGTGTGTATTCAGTCAAAGGATGTTTTAATAATATTTTATCCATTCAAGTTGGGGCACACATATACCCATATTATTCATCTGTATCCATGTTCAGCTCTGTGGATGTCCCATATCTAAGATTAAGCTTATTTATTAAATTTATTTTGAAATAAAATTGTTTGAATTATAAATCTAAGAAAAACTCCAGAGAATGTGACTGTCTTGATAATTTAGATTTTTGTTGTCGCAAGAAGATAGCAGCATTTAGAAATTGCTATTGGCAGTTTTGGACAGACGAAAGTCAGCATGCTAATCTGATTTTTATTTTACAATTAGAAGTACTTGGTGCTGTGTGTGTGTCATGGTCTGGAAGTTATAATCTTTTCTATAGTATTAAATGAAGACATTGTAAAAATTGTACTTATTGTAGTATAATATTTTTTCATTTTGTTGAGAGTGAAGTGGTAAGTGCACAAAAAAGAAAATACACTAATCATATGCATACCTAAAAATTTTATTGATTGAATTTGAGATAGATGAAGCTCCTGCTTAAATTACTTAGACAGAACTGAACAACAGGATATTTTGCACTACCATTGCTGTAAAACTTGCCTTCTAAGTAAGTAATAGCTAATTTGTCTGTGTATAAAGTCATTAATATGTACATTTGTTCAAACTATCAATAGGCCCAACTCAGGTTCACATGCCCTTACTTACATATTTCATGTGAAGCTAAATGCAATTTTTAAAAACTTTTATACTGTATGAATATGAATGAAATTATAATGAGCTTATGAACATGTGAACTTTTACTGCTTCTAGAATATATGTAGTTACTTATCAACGCTTTTATAAGAGGATTATTGAAGCATAGAGGCACATTTGAAATTATGCTTTTAATTTAGAAATGCTTTGATATTATTGCATATCTGTATATTAGATTTATTTATTTCCCTTTTTGTTTAACCCAGATCCGACGGGCACTGCATGTACGTACATGCCATGCCCACTGTGAGTTTACCTTATTAATTGTTTTAACACATAGATGGCTACACTTGTACTAAGTCACCAATGAGCCAGTTACGAGTAATGCGTCTCGCCTGTTTACCCTTTTCCTTGATTTTTGGAATATTTTACATTATCTGATATTGATGTTACTAATGTCTATAACATTATAGTAATTATAAAGTCTATAATAAAAATAACATCATCAATATTCATAGCATTAGTAGAAATCAAATTTTCCTGCCAATTTAAGGAAAGGTGAAATCAGGTAAGGTCACAAGGTCTACCAATTGACTCCTTTGTGGCAAAGCACTAGCAGAGGCATGTATGTGCATAGAATTTTCACAAAATGATAAAAAATGAGCACAGCATTTTCCCGGCGGCATTGAGTTAACGTTGCATTTTAGCACACTGCACAATTTTACTGTATTTGCACTTCAACAAAATGACAGGGGTAAATTCAGTTACTCTTTACTATATATATATAATAATAAGATTTAAAGGGTTTTATGATAGGACTTATCTTTGCTCTTTTTGTTACGAATATTGTGATTAGACATGTGCTAACAGAGTATTGTATTTGTGGAGTTCCCTGCTGAAGTGAAAGGAGCATTATACAAGAAAATAACAAATCAAGTAATGTTAGATCATTGCTTATATCTGCTTCAAATCAAAACCCAAGTGGATGTTGGACAAATGAGAATACTGGCATGGTCAATGTTAATGTCATAGATGTTATAAAAAAAGAAAAAAATAATTAGGAAAGTAAAATTGCATCTGAAAAAGAGGAAGATTGCCTAGCAGCAGCAAAGAAGGCTTATTTTGCTTACTAATTGGCTGGAAGTAAGGACCATTTTGCCTGTTGGTTGGCTGAAGGCAAGGCTGGAGGAGCTTATTTTGATTATTGATTGGCTGGAGGAGAGGCTTATTCTGCCTGTTCATTAGCTGGAAAGGAAGCTCATTCTGCCTACTAAGTGGTAGGAAGAGAAGCCCATTCTCTTTACTGATTGGCTGAAAGGGATGTTTATTCTCCTTTCTGATTGGCTGAAAGGGAGGCTTGTTCTGCTTATTGATTGGCTAGAGGTATCACAACAATAAGCCGATGGGTTTGTCTCTTTATACCTATGCCTAACTACCACCTAGAGCCTAATACTGCCATTGTATCTGACACTCTTCCTAGGCACTTCATAGCATCTGAGTAGTGTACTAGTGAAAGGAAAATCATACCTCAGAATCAACCATACTTCAGAATTATGCTTACCTCAGTTCAGCAGCGAGCGCCACATTTTCCCTATACAAACGTTGAATTGGAAGCCTGTGTGATTGAAAATATACAATATTAAATATCCTAAGTAAACAAATGAAGACAGATATATCTATTTCCTATATGAAAGTTTCAGTACACTATATAACACTGTTTATATGTAAACACATTATCAACTGGAAATATACAAGATGTTAATGTATCTACCCCTAAGTCATTCAAACAATCCTCTGAATGGTAATGGATAAAACCAAGTCCTTTTTTTTTCAACATCTGTGATTGTGTGGCTGTATGTATATAGTGGTAATAAAAATTTAAAATGTCTTGTATATTTATGCCTTCTTCCATTTAATCAGCAATCAGTCTTACATGTAACAGGGAAGCATCCTGATTTTAGTTACAAGGAGATTTGACTAATAAAGCATTTTGGTAAAAAAACAAAAAAACTGTGACTGTTGACATAAAAGTACAATTAACACCTACTTTGTGTGTGTGTGTGTGTGTGTGTGTGTTTGTGTGTGTATGCGTGTGTGTATGTGTGTCCACATATATATATGTATATTCATATATATACATATATATATATTCATATACATATATATATATATATATATATATATATATATATATATATATATATATATATATATATATATATATATATATATGTATATGAATATGAATATGAATATATATATATATATATATATATATATATATGTATATATATATATATATATATATATATATATATATATATATATATATATATACATATATATATATATATATATATATATATATATATATATATATATATATATATATATATATATGTATATATATATATATATATATATATATATATATATATATATATATATATATGTATGTATGTATCTGTATATATATATGTATATATATGTATATGAATATATATATATATACATATATATATATATATATATATATATATATATATATATATATATATATATATATATATATATATATATATGTATGTATATATATATATATATATATATATATATATATATATATATATATATATATATATGTATGTATATACATATATATATACATATATACATGTACACACACACACACACACATATATACAAATTTATATACACAAATATACATATATACACATATATCTATATATATATGGGGGCTTCAAAATATTTGTGAAAAAGGTCCATAACTGAGAATCATACGGAACACTTTTGATTTCAGTGCACCTGAACACTGCTGTACCAACATGTTATAACTTATTCAAACATGAACCCTTAAATGCAGCTAATAACGGATCACCGCCAGTTGAAAGTCAGGCACCATTCAAGCAACATGGAACCCAATTCACCAAAATCGAGGCCAGGACAAACATTAATTTCATGGTGAAACCTCCCCCCAATCCCTTGCCCGTTGCTGGGGGCTTAGGAGGTGAAGACTGGTACCCAATGCTGGGGAACTCCCCGCCTTGGGACTCACCCCTCGACTCTTTTTTTTCCCCTCCTGCTTTTTCGTGTCCGTCCCTTCCCCAACGCCTTCTACTCTCCACATCCTAAGGTGTGAGAGCCGTGCTGAAAGGATGAAAGACTGACTTTGTACCAGTCCTGAATGGCCTGAGGGAGCCACAGGCATGATCTTCCCCTGTTTCAGTTGTCTAGCTAAAGTTGGACTGTTTCTCTCCCTAACATATTCTAGGCTTACCGTGGCCAATAATGAAAATGTTATACCCTTATAAGGGGCAATGAGGCTTGCCCCTTCATCAAATAGACCCTTCAATTCAAACTCTCCCGATTCCACGATCCCAGGCTCTCCATTGACCACGGCTCCAAATGCTGCAACTATTACCCCCTCCGCAATGCCTACTAATACATTATCCACCCAAGTCAACACTCAATCTCCAGGAGACAATCCTACTCTCCCAACATGCTCAACTTCATCACCTCTGACCTCACAACCTTCTTCATTAACTACCCCATCCTCCCTTATTACTATTTCACAGCCTTATTGTTCACCTCTAAATAATACTACCTCCCTCAACACTACTCTTCCGTCCTTCTACTACCCCCATCTCTACATATATCTTAAATACTCTATTTAGCCCAGCCAAATGGGACCGACTTTTTACTCTGACAACACTCTTCTCTTCCTGCAATGTCTCCAAAAATAAGTAGGCAAAGTCTCTTTCCGTCCCCGTCTCGTCACAGTAACATCTCCAGGGTATAGAATTATCAACTCTAATTGATTTTACTGGTAACCCTATTCCTGTAGAACCTCATCCAGCTGTCAATACTTGCACTGGAACTGTCTAAGTCTCCCCAGCAAACTGCCCTATCTATAACAAAAATTGGTCAGATCGTGGAGAAGACTGTGGCTGCCCCATAATGTATTTTATTGGGGCTGTCTGAGGTGGCAACGCTCAGATTCAGACTTGGACTCACTCTGTGTGAAGCCAGACAGGAAGCAAGTCGACGAGGTTTTTCTCTTACGCCATATTCCAGTAATGTCGCTCGATCCGCCCCTCCCCTTCCCTCCCTTCCAAGACGTTCCAATAAACTCCCCATGCTTATCCCTCCTACATCTTACTTCCCCACTTCTACCTCCTACATTCCTCAGTCAAATTCTTTTGCCATTCTAAATCCAGACACTCCAGTCTCTACTACAGTCCCAACACCTTCCCCTGTCCCTCCCTGCAGCAGACAGACTAAACGTTCTACCCCTTCTTCTCCTACCACACATCTCACCTCTACCTTTGCCTCTACTCCTCAGACACTAATCTCCTCTTCCCTCCCTCAAAAGAAAACCTTTTGTCTCACAAAACTCAACATCAATATCCATCCTCCTCCTACTCATATTCCCCCTACACCCCTTCCTCATCCTCCCTCCCAACAAAGCCCATCCCCTAGCTCCAGCTCCACCTGCATTAATCCTCCCTCCATCCCTTCTATCCCTTCCACTCCCTCCTGGATACACACGTGAATCCCTTATGTCACAACCATCCCCGGATCCTCCACCTGATACAGCACCACCTCCCCCTCTCATTCCTTATCTCACCCCTTAGCTACTCCCCCTTCAAATTCTCTAATACGCACTATAACCGTTATCACTCACAGATCAACTAAAGTATAGCTCTCCTATATTGAAATAATTGCGGTTTCCGTTCTCACAGACCTGACCATTGTCATATCCTTTTTCCTTATAATCCATCCATTATCTGCTTTCAAGAGACTTTTATCTCACACTTTCTGCTTTGACCTGTTCTCCTTCCTCAGATGCATATATATCCTTCACTTGATCTAACGCCTTTACCTAAACCGACCTTAACCCATTCACTCATCAACTCCCCCCCCCCCCCAATCCCTTGCCCGTTGTTGTCGTGGGGGGGCTTAGGAGGCGGAGACTGGGACCCAATGATGGGGAACTCCCCAACCTTGGGACTCAGCCCTCGACTCAACTAATTATGCATGGTCTTTTTTTCCCTTGCCACTTTTGTTTCTGTCCCTTCACCAAACCCTTCTGCTATCCACCTCCTAAGGTGTGAGAGCCGTGCTGAAAGGATGAAAGGCTGACTTTGTGCCAGTCCTGAACGGCCTGAGGGAGCCATGGGCACGGTATTCCCCTGACTTTAGTTATCTAGCCCTTACCCCTCAAGGGGACCCTGAGGGGTGGACTGTTTTTATCCCCAACATAATCCAGGCTTACCATGGCCAGTAATGAAAATATATCCCCACTGTTAGGGGCAATGAGGCTTGCCCCTTTATCAAATAGCCCCAACGAAGTTAACCCACCCGATTCCCTGACCCCAGGCTCTCCTTTGTCCACGGCTCCGAACACTGCAATAACTACCCCTTCATCAATGCCTACTAGTACAGTAGCCAACAATCAACCCTCAAGGAACATTTCCACTCTCCCAGCATGCTCAACTTCAACACCTCTACCCCCACAACCTCCAACATCAACCACCCCATCCTCGCTTATTAATACCTTACAGCCTTATTACCCACCTCTCCATAACACTACCTCCATCAACACTACTCCATCTTCGTCACGCCCCCGCCCTTCTACCACCCCTATCTCTAAAACAATCTTGAATACTCTCTTTAGTGCAGCTAAATGGGACCGATTTTTCGTGATCCCTCCCACAGCTCCCTACTCTGACAACACCCTTCTCTTCCAACAATGCCTCCAAAAACAAGTAGGTAAAGTCTCTTTCCGTAGCCGACCCGACCGCTCCCGTCTTGTCACAGTAACATCCGAAAACCAAGCTATAGCATTAACAAAACAAACTGACCTATATGGTAACCCCATCCTTGCAGAACCCCATCCAACCGTCAATACTTGCACCGGAACAGTCTCAATCTTCCCTTTAACGTCTACATAGGAGAATCCCTCCCTGTTCGTCCATACCAACCTCCTCCACGTCAGTGCCAAAATTGTTGGCGTCTAGGACACCCAGCCAAACATTGCCGTTCCACAGCCAGATGCCCATTATGTGCCCAACCTGGCCATACCCGATCTAACTGCTCTGCAAATCACGCACATGTGCCAACTGTGGCGGCCCCCATAATGTATTTTATAGGGGCTGACCCACCTACAAATTTGAATCTGAGGTAGCAACTCTCAGATTCAAACTTGGACTCACACTACGTGAAGCCAGACAGGAAGCACGTCGACGTGGATTCTCTCTTACTCCTTACTCCAGTAATACTGCTCATTCTACCACTTCTCCTAAACCCACCCCTCCTACATCTAACTACCCCACTTCTACCTCCTACCTTCCCCAGTCAAACTCTTTTGCCATCCTAAATCCAGACACTCCAATCTCTACTACAGATACTCCAATCACCACTACAACCCCAACACCTTCCCCTCTCCCTCCTCGCACTACCCGTAACAGACAGAACAAACGTTCCACCCCCTCTTCCCCTACCACGCAATCACCCCCACCATCCTTTGCCCCTACTCTTGAGACACCAGTCCTCTCTTCCCCCCCTCACAAGAAATCCTTTATCCCCCAAAACTCCCCAACCAACTCCACAGAAGAAACTATTGAAAATATTCAAGATTACTTAATGAAAACTGACACTCAACCTACAACTCCTGCTCCTTCCACACTCCAAGTAATTGCTGATATCCATCCTCCTCCTAACGATATCCCCCCTACACCCTATCCTCCTACCCCCTCCCAACACAGCCCATCCCCCCTGACCCCAACCCCGCCCACATTAACCCTCCCACCATCCCCTCTATCCCTTCCACTCCCTCCTGGATACACACGTGAATCCCTTGTGTC